TTTGTGTAGTTCAGTTTTTCTACATTTTAGTACAGAAACTTTTAACAAAATGCAGTTTTGAAGGTGTTTCCTTGTGAGTTAACAAGTAAAGATCATTGTTAATTACTATTTTGTATGAATTTTGCTAAAGTTAACTATAAAGAAACACCTACTGACGCTAGTCAGTTTAAGGGGAATCTATTCTCCTCATTTCCAAACCATGATACGAATGGGCACTGACATGTGGAGAAAATAGATACTTGTATTTATGCATTGTGTGTTTTAGATACATAGGATTGGGTATTTAAATTAGCATATTTGTGAATTTAATAGCATTAAGATTACCTTCAAATGAAAAAAAACCTCAAAATCCCTATTTGTGCATTTTCCTTCAATGTAATCATGGTTTTAGTGTGTTTTAAGATTTGCTGAATCGTAGCTGTGTTTAGAACATCTCCATTCTACATTTACCTTAATCATATTGAGAATGACTGCTACCATAGTTTTGGAGTGTAAAGCATGTCTGCTGCCCTCTATTTAAATTTGTAAAGGGTAGTGGATATTTTCCCCATCCCTTTAGAAACCATTAATTTTTGATTCAAGACCACTAAGTGTGCAATGTCTGAGCATATTAGTGGATACCTGATTTTATTCTGTTTTTCCTTTGAGACTCCTGAGACCTATAAGTTTTATTACTTTAATTTCTCCATGTAAGTTTTCAGAGGAAGAGAATAAAAAGACACTTCATTGTCAAATCCTTAAAAAAAAATTATGCACCCTCTACTATACCTTTGTATCTGAGTCTCTTTTGTAATTTGGTTCAGCAGTATATTAATGTGTATGCTATTTATTTATGAAAAGCAGTTTGTGATTGATTGATTGATTTATGAAAAGCAGTTTGAGATCTCTGATCAGAATTAAAAAGGAAAGAGGGCTTGTATTGTAGTTAGTGCTATAAATAGTGCTTGCCTAGCTGGGAGCTGGTAGCTACTCAGGAGGCTGAGATCTGAGGATCACCAATAAAAGCAAGCCAGACAAGAAAGGCCATGAAACTTTTTTTTTTTGAAAGGCCATGAAACTCTTATCTCCAATAAAACCACCAGAAAACCAGAAGTGGTACAATGGCTCAAATGATACAGTGCTAGCCTTGAGCTGAGGAGTTCAGGGACAGCACCCAGACCCAGAGTTCAAGCCCCACAACAGACAGACAGACAGACAGACAGACAGACAGAGCTTGCCAAGCATGCTCAACTGAGTTTTATTCCCAGCACAACAAAAAAACAAAGCAAACAAAAAGCAAAGCACTTACGTGTGCATATTTTTAAAAGATAAGAACCTGTAGCCTTTTTGGTCTAACAGTATGAAAATACAGAATTTTAGAAATTTAGGATATTTTGTTCTTGCCAATATATATATTTTTCATGTAACTAAAAACGTGATATTTTGTTTTCTGAACAAATGTCCTCCAACTGCATTCACTTTCCTGTAAATGACATGATTTCCTGTAAAGTATACATACTACAGTGCCAATACCATGTTTTTGTTACCGTGGTTCTTTTTTTTTTTTTTTGGGTCAGTCATGGGGGGCCTGGGCGCTGTCCCTGCGCTCTTCAGCTCAAGGCAAGCGCTCTACCACTTGAGCCACAGCGCCACTTCTCGAGTGGTTTTATTGGAGATAAGAGTCTCATGGACTTTCCTGCCCAGGCTGGCTTTGAACCGTGATACTCAGATCTCAGCCTTCTGAGTAGCTAGGATAACAGGCATGAGCCACCAGTGCCCGGCTTACCCTGGTTCTTCAAGATAATTTGAGGTTTGGTATTATGTTTGGTGTCTATGTTTGAATACTGTCTGTAGTATCTTTTTTCTGTTGAGATCTAGTTTAATTCCATTTTGGTCTGATAGAATATTTCAATTTTCTTATATTTTCTCAGACTTCCTATATATTCTAGAAAGTCTTATGAGCTGCCAAGAAGAATGTGTATTGTGTTGTAACATCTGTAGATGTCTGAT